AAAAATACATAGAATCTTTCTTATAGAGGACGTCAGTGGCTACAATTTATCTATAAAAATTTTTTCGCAAGCGCCAATAATTAATTAATAAATAAAATTATTTATTGCAAAAAGTTTTTCTTCGTTTAAACGAGAAATAAAAAATGAAAAATTTGTACTTGAACTGTAACATTAGACACCGCTTTAAAGTATGTCAGCGCTTAGCTGAATTATTCCTAATCAACAATCTACCAATTCCTCAGATATTCACGAAAATGCAGAAATCCGATAATTTAATCATTTATAACAACAGGAGACCTGTATAAAAATATGCAAAGAGGAGGAAGCAGATAAGACGTACTCAGTGTTGGATCTGTTTCGAACTCCACGGCTACGGAACATCACTATCCTATTTATTGTAATATGGTACGTATTCATCAAATTGCTGTCAGTATTTTGTCAAGAGAAATATGTATAAAATAGTCTTTTCGCAAAAGATATTTCAATACGAGGTCCGATCTACTGCCACGTTTTACCAAGGAATTTCCTCTCCACAACAAACGATAGCATATCGGAATCGAAGTAAGTGTGCAATTTCTTTGACATATTTTCTGTCACAGGATGGCGATCTCTTTGGTGTTCGATGGTCACGTACGAAACGTCAATAATCTAGGCTTGAACGTGTTCATGACGTTTACGATCGCTGCAGCCACCGAATTGCCAGCTGACACATTCCTCACCCTCGTCCTCGACCGATGGGGCAGACGATGGCTGGCTTGTGGTTCACTCGTCGTCTCCGGTATTTTCAGCATCTGGGCTTCCACCGTTTCCAATAGTATGCATAAATTTTTTAATTCAATTAAAATCATCTACTCAGTTTTCAATTAACTTTTTCTCTTCAGACATTTACTCAGCCACTCTGGCGATCCTCGGCCGATTTTGGATAAACATATCCTATAACATCGGGCTTCAGTACGCAGCTGAGGTGCTTCCGACCGTAGTCAGGGCTCAGGGCGTAGCTCTGATACATATAATGGGATACGTAGCTAGTATCCTGGCACCGTTCGTTGTGTACCTCGACGTAGTCTCGCCGATTTTGCCTCTTCTGGTATTGGGCATCCTCGGCATCGCGAGCGGTCTTCTTACGCTGTTCCTGCCGGAGACGTTGGACAAGGATCTGCCCCAGACGCTGCAGGACGGCGAGGACTTCGGGAAGAACCAGAAAATGTGGGACGCGCCTTGCATCGGAAGGTAAAAATTCGACAGCTACGAAGAAGCCTTCAACCTTTTCTTAATATTTCTTGAGATTCATGATTAATGACTGAGTTCTAGAGGCTATCGGACCATATCTGTTTTCGTGGGAGGGTGTGGGTGCAGGTATTCAGTTTGATCTTTTTATAGGAAACGCGAAGACGAGGAAACACCACCAGTCGCCATGTTTAGATCTTTCTCTAGATGCAGCGCGAGGAATTCGATGAAGGCGTTCACGCGAGGCGAAGCGATGAGAAGCAGCATGATTAGCAGGTCCAGCGTTAGGTCAAGGAAAAGCGGTAACGCGGTCGTGGAGGTGGAGAGACTGTAATGTTTGTTCCACGAGCGTGACACCAGTGGTAATTAAATTAACTGAATCAAATAATGCTGTCGGTTATCAGTAGCGATGGGATCAAGTTCGATATGTACTCACAAATTCGAGTCAGTTTCAATAAACAAGTTTCGATTTGTACTCAAAGGCAATAATGTTTCTATGATTATATTTGAAAAGTATTTATTTTATTGCATATCGAACCTCGGAATAAGTACTTACAAGTTTCGAAAAAATACGTATAAGTAACTGTTGAAAGGAATTGAATCAGAATTGTATAGTCGATCTTAAGTATTTTATTTATTAAAGTCATAACTATTTAAGAATAATATTTCATTTACAATATTAGGTTTTAGTCTGTTTATTTCTTGTCCATGATATTTGTTAATTTAGAAAATAATCTTTCTACGGAGACTACAGAAAGGGGTAAAGGGTGTCATTAATGAAACATGCAATTAGATCACAGGATATAACTTTATTTTAATTATATTTTACATAATTAATTTTAAATGTAGAAAATTTCTGAGATTCATAAAAGTTTCGAATCTATCGACCAAGGTTTGAGTATACTTGCAAGTATTACTTCCGTTTACTAAAGTGCAAGTGGAAAGTTCGACTACACTTACGAATTCTGTTTCTATTTTCCGAAGTACTTATAGAGAGTTCGAATTCAATCAAAATTCGAACGCGTTTGCGAGGTACTTGATCCCATCCCTAATTATCACTAGACTGCGGATTTTATGTATGTGTAAAAAATTGAACATATTAAAAATATAAACACTGCATATAATAAAAATATTTAGAATACCAAATACAAAGTAATATTGCAATGTTTAAAACTATCATAAAAAGTTTATTTTACATAAGAATCTGCAGTCTAATTATTATCAGCGTTTTGATATTTCATAATTCGTGCCATTTTTTAATGAAACTGATCGTCATCGAGTCTCCACCTGTTTTTTAATATACTGAATTGATTGTCATAATAAGGGCCGAGGATTATCCTCCTAGATCTCATAACATATTGACGTCTGAGCCCTCGGTATTATACATACGTACATACATTATGAATCAGTCTACTTCTTATTGAACAAGTCATTCTCGAAAATGCTTCCACGCATGATCCAAGAAGTTCTAACAAATTACTTTTCCATCGAGGCACGTTGAACGTACAGCTTTCTTTCACCGCACGAATGGAATTTGCTTTCTGCTTATCTCGTTCGCCGGCGAACTATACCAATCCGAGAATAGCTATCCCAGACTCAATGTTAAGTCAACAGGCGAGGGTTCGCGACTTTTAGTAAGCACTATCTTTGGCCAATTAATATTATAGCGACGCAATCGGCAGTCGCGACGAACGCCTCAAACGCAAGACGTGTTAATTATTACACTATGCGTTACGTACTGATCGATTATTTTATTCACGTGTCGCGTGCCCTGGCGAAGTATAAAAAAACATTGGGACAGTATCGAATGGATTTGTGTGTATGAAGAATGCTAAGAGATAATTAGAATTAATCTTGTTACCTTGATATAAGCACGTTCGATGTAAATAGGACATCTGTTTCGATCACGATCGTCACGTACGTCTTATGTAAAATGTGAAAGGAACTCTGTCCCGATTAGACCTTTCTATGTTCAGCATTTGTAAATATTCTACCAAGAATTACTTATTTTTAATGTATTGAATTGTCCGGAGGGTTCGTGCCGGTTCAAAGATTCAGAATTCATTCAATTATATAGGCGTCGTTTCGTTCTACAATTTTTCTTCATCTTTTCTGCTCAATATTATATTATAAATAATATATTTCTCATCACTCGTCACTACTTGGTTAAAAAATTGTGACCACCTACTTGAAAAATGCCTTCTGACAGTCGGACTTTTCGGACAATTCGATATTTTATTCAATTTTTTTTGTAGCTCTGGTAAATTGTTAACATCTAGCTTTTAGGTAAATTAGGACAGATTTATATCGTCGATACTAGACTTCTATCATATTTGTAAATATATAATCTCGTAGTACAAATGGAACTTAATTGTAAAAACGATAGAAATAAGTTATCTTGTAAAAGTAATACTCTCTGAGTATTGTCGATAATCGTAATTAATTTTAATTAATAAAATATTCATATGAAAACAATTTATGTGTCTCAATATCTCACGCACGAAACGTGTATTCTAAGAAACCTTGTCTGTCTTTCTAGAACAAAATATTATGATGATAAACCATTGTCATTACGAAATTCCCTGGCGAGCAGTCGTTCTCGTTACACTTCGATCAAGAGAATTAATTTACAGATAGAGAAGATGTGAATAAAATGAAGAAATTGTGTAATCTACGTAACATTCATGTATAATAACATTTCAGCAACGGTTACAACAGTGTCCGCTTCGCTAGATTGCGATTGTATTTCAAGAACAAAGCGTTACGCAAAGCCCCGTTCGTCCTCTGCAGCGAAAGTATTTTCATTTTTGCTGAGATGATCCAGCTCCGCTCGCGTTACTCGCGATCGGCTTGTCAAGGTAGACGGGATTCTTCAAGAACTTATGTTACACGATTGAAATTCTAACGTTTCTTTATTCGTCAAGTAACGAAGGTACGGAAATAACAATGGACAGTGAAAAAAGGTCTCGTTGTCAGTCGGAACGTTTATGCCAGGAATAGATAGTCTGCAATTCTTCTTTCATTCCCCAAGACCTTCGCAACATGTCGAGATAAACGTTGCTATAAAAACGACAAGATTTTTAACAAGTCTTATAATAAAGAAAATTGAGTCCGTAAATGAGCACGTCTGAACTCTGAGTGCTCTGTTGAAACAGATATTGCCAGGAATATAGTCCATAATTTGTTGGTTCACTTCACAAGACCTTCACAATATATTCAGATAAACTTTGCCATAAAAACGACAAGATTTTTAACAGATCTCATAATAAAGAAAATTGAGTCCGTAAATGAGCATGCATAAACTCTGAACGTATTATCGGAACATTTATTATAAGAATAAAGATGACAATGTGTTCTTTCATTTCATATTTCATATTTCATGAAACTTTGACGATACGTTGAGATAAATTTTTGTAAGCAGTGATGAACTTTTCGATATACCTTATAATAAAAATTGTTGGTTGCACAAATAAGCATGCGTGATTTCTAAATGTACCAATTAGACTATCAGACTATATATAGGCATCGAGTGACATAATGTAGTTTACATAATACAGTAATGTATTATTATCTTTCTTTCTTGCCGCTTAGAGGATTAGTCAGTATACCAGATCGGGTAGGAACGAAACCCGTTGAAATAATATCAGTCACAGTAGCAGATCCGTAACTGATGTTGCCTACTATTATTACCAGTGCCAGTGACCGCTAAACTCCTCGCTCGAAACTTACCACGTATCTGTTTGGATATTAACTAAATTTCAAGTAAGTTTATCCGATATTTTGAATTAGAACAATTTTACTGTTAAAATTGTATGAGTTCCTTCGTTGCTTGAAATCATTGATAGATAAATAAAATTTGGAGTTACTAAATAGCAATTATCAGTGTCAGTGACTTCTCGCTAGAAAGCTACCACATATCTGTTTGAATATTGACTAAATTTCAAATAAGTTTATCCAATACTTTGAATTAGAACGATTTTAAAAATTGTATGCTATTTTACTGTTCGTTTTGTTGCTTAAAATCATTCGTTAGCAATTATTAAAATAGTTGTGTGTGATTATGTAAGTCATGTCAGTGGCTGCTAAACTTATCGTTAGAGAACTATCATGTGTCTGTTCAAATCTGAGATAAGTTTAAAATATTCTGAATCAGGCCAGTTTTGACTATTAATATCGTATGAGTTCGTTCAATTGTTATTTTACTGTGCGTCTCGTTACATTCACAGATAAAATTTGAAATTAGCAAACGGCATTATAATGACTAACGTTATCAGTCAATTACCCTTTCAAAACTCGAACACTGCGCATTGTCTAAAACGTCCTGGTGTCATTTCACTCGGAAGAACGTTTGAACGATGTTGTCGCAAGTAAATCGAATTCGATCGATGCTAAACTCGAGAATCGTGCGAATTCTTCGTTTCGTTTCGCGTCTCTTCTTCGACACCCTCCTCCCTCCCGTTCCCGTTATAACGAACACGTGCGTGCGGGGCATATAGCTTTCTTCGATTCCTCGATCTAGCAGAGAGCTTTTATATCAGCGAAGCCGGTTTCCCTTTCATATCCGTGAAAGAACTCACAGGCGTCGGACGCGTTTGTTTCCGAGGAAAACAATTATTGTTGTTTTATAAAATTCTGTAATAATTTCGACAGAGGAAACTGGGCCGGTTGTTTTCTTTTGCCTTGAGAAGATTATTTTAATTACAATTTCATTTTCGAGTAACAGGTGTTATCCTTGATAGTTATTTAGTGGAAAAGGCAAGAGATGATTCGGCTGAGACTTTTTCCGCGTTACGCAATTCATTGTTAATTGTGTTCCCCCTGTGGTATTAGTGGATCCAGAGGTGTTTAATTAATTACGATCGGTTGCTAAGTCGTATCGTGTTTCGAGCGAAGAGAAGAAAGAAACGGAGTTTCGGTTTGCCGCTGGATTACGTTTGCTGAAACGTAAGACGTCCTATTTTTATATCGTGGAAACATTATTTACTTCGAATTTTCATCGCTTAATTATATTACGAACGCTGTACAGGGTTGCGGATTTTCTAATTGCCGTAACTAAATTTCTGTAAATCTCAATCGACAAGATTCTTTAATTAAGAATTAAAATTCAATCGATTCGAATTTCTTCAATTATGTTGCTTGAATAGTTTTAATTTTTAATAAAAAATTAAACGTTAATTATTATTAATTGCAGTTCAATTGAATTAAAGATTCATTCATTTATCTGCGACCCTTAAGAATTTATCCCTTAAATAAGTATTGTTAAATTAATTTGTTGTAGATTTAAAATTTAACTATTCTCTAAATATCTTCCTTAAAAAGTCAAAGTAGCTCTCGAATTACGAAGCCAACGCCTGCCAATTATTAATCGTCCAGTTTTTTCCACTCGTCTCCCAGACGCTACGATAGATATGTATTGTAGAAAGAACGGAAGATTTCTCTGAGAATGCGGGCCTGATTGGTCGTACGGTTCTTTTTCTTCCATGTGCTTTAGGCTCTGGAGTACAGCTGGTTGCTAGGCGTTCGCAGTTCGCACAGTTGTCCATGCCCTTTCAAGAGCGTCTCATTTACAATTCAATTTAAACGAAACGACTCGCGTGTCACGATCCACTTGACCTTCCGGCATAATAACTGGTCAACGCCTGGGACAAACACTTACGCTTGATTTGTTAGTTCAAACGATTCGAAATCGGTTGTGAACATTCGGCTTCGTTTCAGTTGGATCCTTCCATCGATTGCCGATTGTTCAACGAGAGTTTCGTTCGAAGAGAATTCATTTTAAGAACCATGAACGACGGGTAAGATATCTGCCTGCCTATGCGATTAATTATGCTGCATTTGCAGAGATGTCTGCCACTAATCAGTGTGATTACGATTATCAACTGGATGACGAGAAGTGGTACCGCGATTGTAGTATTTATTGGCGGGATACTTGTTGAACATAATTAGACATAATCTTGAGACCATACTGTAAATTCTGAATTGTTTTAAACAAAATAGTTTAACATTATTTCGTTGATTAAACTTTGAGAATATAAGTTTTCGAATACTTTCGTATTATACGTAGAAATCGATCGATTTTAGAGAAATGAAGAACTCGAAGGATTTGGATAAATCCATGGGTCCCACCGAAACGACTCGGTTGAGGCCGAGGCTGGAAACCTTCGACGACGTCCTGCCGTACGTCGGCGATAACGGAAGATATCAGTGGCTACTCTTATTAGCATTAGCACCTTTCGGCGTGATCTACGCTTTCCTTTACTTCTCGCAATTTTTCATCACGATTACCCCTAAAGAGTACTGGTGCAAGATAGACGAACTGGTGGAAGCGAATTTCACCGAAGAAGAGAGGTAAGTACGGAAAGACACAAAAATTAAAAAAGAATAAATAATAGCATTTTCTATGTTCAGGATTCGTTTATCAATTCCAAAAGCGGTCGAGTATCCCTACTACGATCGGTGTCATCAGAAAGATTTGAATTTCGCTGATATCTTGAATAGCGGCAAGGATCTACATTCGCTGGAAGCGAACAGAACGGTTGGATGCAATCGTTGGGAGTACAATTTCACGCAAGTCCCCTACGCCAGTGTTGCAACTGAGGTGAAGAATCCATCACGTGTTTCTTTTGCATTTTTTCCCCAAACAGAATAAAAATGATCCCGAGAGAATTGCATTCTCTATTTCACTGACCTAACTCTTAGCCCCTGGTGATTAGCTAGATTGGGTATGCGACCGGGAGTACCTGATATCAACGGCGCAGGCGATCTTCTTCTGCGGATCCATACTCGGCGGTTTCATCATCGGATGGATCGCCGATCACAAGGGTCGCATCCCAGCTTTGATGGTCTGCAACAGCCTCGGTCTTCTCGGCTCCGTCGCCACCGCAAGCGCCAACAGTTTCTGGTCTTTTGCTTTTTGCAGATTCCTCACTGGACTGGCGTACGACAATTGCATCGACATACCGCTCATTATCGGTGAGACGTAATTCAGTTTAGAAATTTCATATGAGATAATACTTCAAGTATCTTTTATTACTGGTAGACTGCAGTTCTTTTATGTAAGACAATTTATTTATTTAAATATTATATTCTTTTTGCATTTGGTATTCTATATATTTTTATGAATTAGGCAGTGTATTTATTCTACATTCAATTTACTCATAAATCTTACTACGTTCTTACATAATCTTACTATTTACTCAATAATCTTACTACTAAAATCAATTTACTCATAATTATTACTACGTACGAGGAGTGTCGTGATTAATCTAAATTCATTCATTTGAATCGTACATTTTATTAAAAACTACCAATTACATGGCAGTGCTCGAGTACATGGCAGTCGAAAAGCGTACCCTGGTCGTGAACGTCGCCTTCGGGCTGTATTTCGCGGTGGCCAGCACGGTTTTACCATGGATGGCTTATTACATCGCGAACTGGCGGTATTTCACCTACGTTAGCGCCCTACCACTGTTATCCGTTTTCATCACACCGTGGATTTTACCGGAGAGCGCCCGGTAAGCAAACACACGAGCACTCGTTCAATCGCATGTTTGTTCGAAATCTGCGTTAAATCTACTCATACCGTGAATGTTTACTCTGCGAAGGTGGTACGTTTCCAATGGGAAGCTCGATAAAGTCGTAGAGAAGCTACGAAAAATAGCCAGGATTAACCGCGTCAATCCTGACCCACGTATTTACCAAGAGTTCACTGTAAGCTTTTCATACACCTCCACGAAAATTGACGTGTCTGACGTAGTAAATGTTCCAATTTCTACTCACTGCGTTTTTTCCAACAATTTTGATATGGAATCTCGAACCAGTGAATAGAAATTGCGACGTGAACAGAAATTTAGGCGTTTCTTCATATAATATTTGAAAATTGCAGAGTAACTTTGAGACGTCGAGTAGGAAGCACGACACGGCGACGGTGTTCGATTTGTTCAAAACGCCCCGACTGGCCCGGAACACCGTATTACTAGTTTTCTTCTGGAAAGTATAAAAAACCGACCGTCGTAACGAATTCGGCTCGTGACCCGTGGTTCTCGTTACAGGTCTCTCACGGTGATATGCTTCGACGGCCACGTGTATTCGTTAAAGCTTATCCAGAGCTCGGTGTTCGTGTCCTTCTCGCTCGCCTGCTTCACGGAACTGCCGGCCGGCTTGTTGCTCGCCTTACTACTTGACCGATGGGGACGCAGACTCTGCGGATTTCTGACCCTGGCGATGACGTGCATGTTCTCCATCGCTGAACTCTTGCTGGTTTCCAGTAAGCTTCCACTTATAAAACATTATTTTATACTGTATTACTACTGTTTAAAATTGAATCTTCATTAATTTTGTAATTGATCTTCCGTTGCAGTGCCTGCTAAGTTAGCTATGTCAGTGATGTCGCGGTTCTGCTTAAACATGGCAGCGAACATCGGTCTTCAATACGCGGCTGAATTGCTGCCGACGCCCGTCAGATCGCAAGGCGTATCGTTGATTCATATTTTCGGAATAGTAGCGCATTCCATAACACCGTATATTGTCGACACGGTAAACAAATCCGTCTATTCTTGTTATCAATCCACCTCATTTTATTCAAATTTGCACAATTAATCAATTTGTTAATAGGCCGCGATTTGGCAAGGTTTGCCAATGCTTATAATCAGCACGGCATCGTTCATGGGTGCAATGCTGGTTTTGTTCCTACCGGAAACCTTGGGTCAGAGTCTGCCGCAAACGATCAAACAAGGTGAAGAGTTCGGAAATGACCAGAGTTTTTGGTCATTACCTCAGCGTAAGAAGTCGCACTTCAACGGGCTTGCGCATTACCATTCCTGCGAACGATAATCGGCAACATTCCAGCTTTCGATCAGCCAATAATTCAATTAATAGAAATGCAAGCACAGGAAAGGAATGAGGAAATTAAGACTTATTATTATATTCGATTTTCGTACGAGAGAATCGAACGTTTTTCTGTATTCTTATTTTTAATTCTAATTCTGAATGGCGATAAGCCAAGCCCAGTACACGTGTTCCTATATAATTATTACTAGTTACTTTTTATATTAAGAGCTTTTTTTTTTAATCCTCATTATAATTGTCGCGATACGGTCCGGTAGTTGGTGAAAACTCTTTTTTATATCGTCTGTTTTATAAAAGTAGATCGGACAAAAATTTAATTAAAGAAATAAAGCGTTGAATTCTTTTTAGCTAGGAAAGTGCAATGTTCGCTGGTTAACGAACGTTTTAAGTAAGGACTACTTTTTTTTATGCAAAAGTAGTATCTCATTCAAGTAATATCATTAAGGATATCAACTGCTGGACTCATTTATCCAAAGATAACGTTAAAAGTGAGGAATTTAAACGACTGTTACTCTACCATTTAGGAATATTTTAAGCAGATTGTGCCATCGAATGAAAGGCCAATGTCGTTGCGTAAATAATAATAATAATAAATCGATCGGTCTAAAAGATACTTCGTTTACGTTTATTATTTTCATGATGATTATCTTATTTCCTTAATTCATAGAACAGACGTCGAAAATAAAATTTGTATAAATACTGTAGCACGTTATCCTCTTCGTAACAGGAAGACATAGGCTCGACACTTTCTCTACGTCCAGAATTCAGCTACACACTTACTCATTCCAGGTTTCTTTCTCAACGAATCGCTAGGAAGTTTAATGATTCTACGTATATCTCAACACATTCATGATACATCTTAATATCTAGCATCACACATTCACAAGGTTTGTACGACTATATTTACAAAAGATTTGGCAAGTTTCGCACGACCGGATCAGTCGCTATAATCTAGTGCAGTCGAGTTTTTGTACGCTGCCGTTGAATGCCGGGTTCGACAGACCTTTCTTTTTCCTATACGATTTCTATGAAGGAGAAGATTCCGCAGATGCACATCGACGCGAAACCCATCCATCTTCTGCCCCATCTGTCCAAGAAGAGAGCGAGCAGAATAGCAGCTGGAAGTTCCGTGAGGGCGGCCAGCGAGAAAGACATGAAGACGTCCCGGTCTAGAAGTTTCATGTTCCAAACGTGACCGTCAAACACCCAAACCATGAGCAACCTAAGAAATGAATTAACGGATTGTTTCAATTACTCATTTTCTTAAGTAAAAAGCAGGGATCCATAGTAAACGTTCGAATTTCTAATCACTGGCTTAAGAGTGCATATAAAATTGTACAAAGCGCAGTGAGTAGCAACTGTGATAAGAAAAGAAATTGGGACATTTAGTATATTTACCAATAAATGATGAGGGTGACTGTGATACGACCGAGACGTGGTAGTTTGAACAGATCCAGGACAGTATAGTTGTTCAGCTGCTTGTCCTTCTCGTTCATAGCTCTGCAACTCTTCTCGAACTCATCAAATACCTCCTGCTTCACCTCCCGGCCGTTCACCTTCGCGAGCTTCTTCAACATCTCGATCGCCTTGTCCACTTTGCCGCTGGTTATGTACCAACTGTACAAATTGCGAAATACATTGACCGATAAAACATAATTCTAAAAAAGAAAGTATCTTTCTTAGTTAGCATCTGAATTGATGGGACGAGATGCACTGTTTTATAGCTGTTTTTAAGTAGGTCGTCAAACTTGTTTCAAAACTGATTCGACGCGTGATGTGTCGAAACGGTGTTTACTCTGTGAATCGATGCAAAATGAATTACCGTGCGCTTTCGGGGACGATCCACGGGGTGATGAAAGCGACCACCATGGGACACGCAGTCACCACGCTGAGTATCCTCCAATCTGCGATCCAGTAAGCTATCCAAGGTAGAATACTCGATGCCGCTGCAAAGTAGATCCCGAACGACATGTTCGCGAGCAGAGTTCGATACTTTGGACCGACGTACTCGATCACTGAAACGATAGTTACAGCGTGATTATTTTATGTATCGCTTAAAGTGATTGAAGTGAAGAGTTTCACGCACCGATGATGAAGAGTACGTTGAAGCAATTATCGAAGGAGGTACCGACGACGAGCCTGGCCAGGCAGAAGCTCCAGAAGTTGTTGCAGAACGCGGTGCCTACGGAGGCGAGGAAGCCGACCGTGTTGCACGCTACCAACGCTGAAAGCCTGCCGTAATGGTCGGCTATATAACCGAATATTAAGCCGCCGATCATGCTGCCGACGAAGAAGGTGGACTGGGCCGCGGAGCCGAGGTATGTGTCCTCGCAGACCCACGCGAGCTGGAACAGGAACGAAATTGTTATCTCCCTGGCAAATTATGCTCGATGCTAAAATACGACGTGGTCGTAAAATAAAAAAAAAAAAAACGGGAGACGATGGTGGGAACGCGTAAAGAAAAACGATTTGCATGGTTTTGCTTTCGCAAGCTCGTAGAATTTTTCTTTACAATGTTTAAAGACATTTTAATGTCTTTTCTTGTTTTAATCGTTTACGTTGATAACGTATCTACATAACATTGCATTTATCGCTAGGTTGAAAGCACTATATTGTTCATACGGTGTAATTGGACCTCTCAAGGATTGTGTGTATCTAAACTATGTCATCTAAGTGTTTATTCTATTTTTATGTTATAAGATACGAGAAAATTCATATATTTATTCTGTTTTTTTCTTTTACATTATGAAACAGTTTCATAGCATGAAACTCTTTTATAATATTAAGAATGGTTTTGAATGAGGAAAATTATAGTGGACCGATTGTTCACGGAATAATAGGACTGTAGAATTTCTAATTGACGCATCATTACAATTTCTACTCACTGAATATTAGAAAAATAGATCAATAAACAGAATTTGAAAAAATAAGCCAGTGAGTTGGAATTGAGATGTGAACAGAAATTGGATCGTTTAATTTATAATCATTCTGATATACTCAGACCTGCCTTAATTCATCAGCCGTTCGGAATGTCTTAGTTTTCTTTAAAAAACTATAATACACTTGAATAATGGATACTTACTTCGATACCTATCGACTCGTATGGTACCATCTTGTGATCGAAGTCCCAACCGTTTTGACAGCGTACCACGGGCCACGACGGATCCGCTTTTCTGATACCGTTTTGCATCACCTCGGTGTAATTCACGTTGTACATGGTACATCGCGAGAACGACTTCGTACCTTCTATCTTAAGCTCCTCCGTTTGCGCCGGAGGTATAGCCAATGCGATCCTATTCAAAAAATCATTCGTAATTTATTCAATTATTCATTAATACACAGCTCTGTAAACAGTAACAAAATCAAAATGACAATTAAATACAGAACTGAGATAACATATACAAAATGTAATAATAAAGAAATAATAATAAGCGAAAGTGATACAATACTAATAAACAAATAAATAAGTTAATTTTCCTCCTGAATCATTTGCGTTGAGAAAGAAAATGCTTATAAAAAGAATAGAATGGAACGTAAGTGCTGAAAAGGAAAAAGCAATAAAAATAGAGAATTCTCGAAAAAGTGTGGAAAGGTAAAAGCGAAGGTCGGTCGGATAGCATATAAACTCGGGATCTGAGCGGATTCTATTTTAGTCATCAAGTCACGTATTCGATGCATCTATTTCGAAACTCGCGTGAAAAACAAGGAAGAATCTCGGTTCGCGGAACGTCTAACAGCGGGTTTGCGTGGGTATTTGCCGGAGGTCGTCGACCAAACTGGTTCCCGGCTAGGTATAGGAAATCACCGGTAGGCACGCGCGGAGTGATTCAGTGGGAAACACGGTTTTCCTTGTGTAGACCGGTCGTTCCATTCTTTGGAATCGAGCCATCGGATCTGTGCGTGTGGTCCCGCTTCCTTTTACCACGAATTCCCGCCGCGTAGTTGTTCGAGTAAAACACGCGGAAGTTATCGCGGGTGACGGTATTGTCATTCGCCGATTTTTCCACCCGTCTGATTAAACTCGTTACATTCGTACATTAAGGCGTTCAGGCGCCTGATTAAAACTTAAATATTCTAATGCCGCGATACGTTATCGTGAAACGGCAAGATCTGACATGAGTGGAAGATTTTGAAGACGGACCGTCATAGACTATTTCGAGAATGATGTGCGGCTACGGTTCGCGATTAAGCGTTGATTGCTCTCTGCGGTTCGTGGTTAATTATTGTTATCGAATGGTCTCTGGCCTATTGCAATGGCCATTCTGCAAGATCAAATGTAGCAAATGTACCAATTTCTGTTCGTGTCACGATTTCTACTGACTGGCTTTCTCTTCTATCATTTTATACACATACGATTTTACGGGAAGACTTCGAAACATTCTTTGTTAGCTATAATAATAACGATGAAAATCAATTAATATCTGGTGAATCAGCTTGTACACGTGATACAATGTTTTAATAGAATAGAAATTTTTTTAATATAATAGAATAAGAAGTAGCTCACGTTTCATCAATGGTGAGGTTCCATTTGTCGAGTTCCGGCACTTTGCACCAGTGCTCGGCCGGCACCAGGGTGATGAAGAACTGGGTGAAGTACAGGAACGCGTAGACGAAGGTGAAGGGCAGTAGAACGATGAAAAGGAACCATTGATAGCGGCCGGCCTCGCCGACGTGCGGCAGAATGTCGTCGAAGGTCTCGATCTTCGGACGTTCGCCCTCCTCCGCTTTCACTGTCATTATCTCGGTCTCTCTGCGAATCAGCACGTTCACCCGATTACTTAATACACGTTACAGGAGCGTTACGCGAACAGTTCAAGGCGTCTCGACTAAACCTTTCTGTGCGACGAATTAACGAACTCGTTTGCACGCTTATAATTTATTGCTAGTAATAAAAGGCTCTTTGACTACGTAACAAATTAGGATAAGATCTTATCTGATAAGCAAGAGTTTCGTTATTTTACTATTGCCATGATTAGACAGATTTTATGCATTTATGAGAAAATTGAATATGACAAAAATATAAACACTGTACGTAATATCTAAAAATGTAGAAAATATCAAAAGTAGAGTTCACATTGCTATACCTAAATGGTAAAGCAGTCTGTCGTTTTAAGTACATTACTTGAAGTGGAACCAGAAATATTTTATCTTCTTAATTTGTTACATCACGTTTAGATTACGTTACGTTTACATCTGTCGATCTTTCCATCATAAATCGAAGGTGAAGTGCTCTTCAAGAATTTCATTTTCCTGTTGTCTCTACAAGAGACTACAGATTTTATTCATTTATGAGGAAACTGAATGTGATTGATAAAACAAGCTATTGTTGTAAACACATTCTTTAAAGTGGAACTCTAAAAACGTGATCAATTTCATAATTTGTTACATCACGTTTACCTCGTATCGATCTTTCTATTAAGGAATGACGCTCCATTGTTAGACTACGTTTCATTTCAGTATTTCTTTGGACGCCACGTTCCTCGCCTATCTTATCGCTTAATTCGAGACGAATTTCCTGAATGTTCATTACAGTCACTTCTTTTCTTATTCATCAATATAAAATAGAAGTTGGATTCAAGGTGAGTGTGAAAAAATTTGCTGGAAGGAGAGGAAGGAAAAAAGAAAGGTCCTTGATCATTTTTACAAGGTTGTTACAAAACGGAGGATACGCCGTCGATTATTACTGTCACCTGAACGTTCTAAATAATGTCTAAGTCATTTACAC